GAAGCAGCGCGACCGCTGCAACGGAAGAATCCCTCAACGGAGTAAAGGATCACAAAGGTTTTTAATCGAGAGCGGACTGTGCGTCCCTCAGCTGCGATCAATCTTGACTGAGAAAAAAAAACGAGAGCGAAACCTAGGCTTGATTGAGAGCTTCTCTAGCGAGATGAAATGTGGGCAAGCTAGCCTGTTCGATGCGGTGGTACAACTGAAGGAAAAAAGAGATCACTTGATTTCTAGAGTGTGTTCATTGCAAGAGCAGCTGAATAACAGCAGGTCGAGAGGAAGGGAGGAGCAACGTCGCGATGATAAGCAAGGTGAGGCTTATTCGTGGCGAAGGCTGGGTGAGCGGTTGTTAGCATCCATCAACCGTAAAGATGAGGAAACTTACAGAGCAAGAACGATCCGCGTCAAGATTGGCCACCGAGGAACGATGGACTACAGAAGCACCGGAGGCGGGTCTCTCAAGGAGAATCAGAAGATGGTGCGACAGGATCTTCACAATGCGAGATGATGAGTGAGTCGCAGTTCTCTTTATGTAGGAGAAAAGACCCATCGGCTAATCTGAATCCTTCGTCCGAGATGTGGGAGGTTGTCAAAGTAATGTTGAAAGCCCAGGCGGCTGTGAATGTCGAGAAATACAGGGAAAAATTCTCTGAGTGACTTCCTGAGGACCTTTGACATTAAATACCCACGGGAATCCTGGACTAACCGGGAGCGGCGCGACATATTGGTGACACTACTGGATGGTCCGGCAAAGCTAATGTATAGCAATTTACCCAAAGGGGTACAGGAAGGATCGTTCGAGGATGTAGTGGAGGCGCTAGAAAAGTCCAGGACGGGACCCATGCAGGAAGCTTAAGAAGGTAGAGGAGTGGGATAAGCTCCGTAAAAGGGACAACTGAAACGGTAGAGGAATTTTGCTATAAAATGGAAAGGATTTCAAGGGAGATCCACAGTGACAGTGACCGAGATTTTCTTTTGGGCTCCAAACTGCAGGCTTGCCTATCCGAGTGGGAAGAGTCCTACCACCTGTTAGCTGCCCTGAAGCACCGTATGGCTTCGTATACCAATCAGTGCGTAAGGCGCATTACGGCTTGAGCGAGCACGCGAAGCGATGAGAAAAAGATCGCAGTTACAAGGGACCCAAGCTAAGGATCGGAGCGACCGCACCAGGTATAAAGCACATGATAAATATGATAGCGAGGAAAGTTGAAAATAAATCAAGCGGGAAAAACGGCCCAATTAAGAAAACAAAATGCTTTAAATGCGGCGGCATGGGGCATTACGCAAGGAATTGTCCGAGGCCTAATGTCCAGGAGCAACCCCCGCATACGGACGATAGGCAAAAGCGGAAAGCAAACGAAGGGAAAAGTGTCGGGATCGTTTTCCGCTCATTTAGAAAAGTGGTGTAGCGCAGTGACTAGCCAGGATAGGAAAAGCGATAGTGACTGCAGCATATGGGAAACCCCTTTTCTGCAAGGTACACATGCTAGGCATGGTGATCGATGCTATGATTGATACGGGATCAGTGGTATCAATCGTCCCCCTTGGCCTACTGTTGGAGGCGAAGGAAGAAAAAGATCGATCTGGACAGTCTGGTGGCCATCATGGGGGATGGTAGCTCTCAAAGAGTAGTGGACGCCGTGAGAATGCCATGAGCTTTTTGATGCTTTAGCTATGCTACAGAGGTGAATGTGCAGGGAGCAGGGCAAGCCCGTGTGCAGTTACATATCCAAAGAAGCAAGGATAAAATAGTACTGCTAGGGACAAATGCACTCCAAGCACTGAATATCCATATACAAGTGGGTGAGCCCATAGTAGAAACAAGAACCCAGGACGAGAACGGTGAATGCGGTGGCCCAGTGCGAGCAATTCATAGGCATGTCATCCCCGCGGGAGGGATTTCTACAGTACCGGTCTCAGGCGCAGGAGTGGACGAGTGCATATTTTGGTCCAATAATGATCGCATTTCTTCCGGTGTACTGAAAGCGACATGCGGCGAGGCTCTGGTATCAGTTAGGAACAATACTCACGAGCCTTGGGTCATTCGCAAGGGTGAAACCCTAGGGAAATGGGACAAAGAAGCATGGTACGATCCTAGGACACGGGAACTGCCTGGAGACATGCTGGAACTGTCCCACAAACTTCCAGAAATAGGGAGAAATAGAGTCGAAGACCTAATAATCTTACTCAATAACAACCGGAAGGCAGGTCAGCTACCTGAAGAAATGGTGACGCTTGTATCTGAATATGAGGATGTGTTCGCAATCTCAGATTTAGAGCTCACACAGACCAATCCTACTATATATAATCGGCTAAGCGGTTGTGTGTGTGTGTGTGTGTATGTGTTTGTCTGTCTGACCGGAAATTCATAGCTCGGGCACCAGTGGTCGTCAGGAGTTGGTTTCAAGATATGATATAGGGGGTGGGACGGGAACATATTTGGTGGGGTAAAGAAAGTGATCACAACTGATAAGGGCTGATAAAAGGCGCTAGAACGCAAGTGTCGCGAAATTCATAGCTCGGGCACCAGTGGTCGTCAGGAGTTGGTTTCAAGATATGATATAGGGGGTGGGACGGGAACATATTTGGTGGGGTAAAGAAAGTGATCACAACTGATAAGGGCTGATAAAAGGCGCTAGAACGCAAGTGTCGCGAAATTCATAGCTCGGGCACCAGTGGTCGTCAGGAGTTGGTTTCAAGATATGATATAGGGGTGGGACGGGAACATATTTGGTGGGGGTCACAAAGTGATAACGACTGATAAGAGCAGATAAGAGGCGCTGAAACACAATTTCACGAAATTCATAGTGCGCTTCGCAGCAGTCGTCAGGAGCTGATTTTGGGACATGATAGGGGGGGACGGTAACATATTTGGGGGGTCAAAAAGTGATAACGACAGATGAGGACTGATAATTACGATATGCGTACGAACGTAGAGATTACTCGAAACCAGATTGCAGATAATGCATTTCATTTCAATATCATTTCATTAGCGTTATAATTGTAAATTCAAACACCTTTCAACCGCTACACCTTCTAGAGTTCTTGAGGATGAATGGGATGCTCTAATAAATTTGATAGTGAATACTGGGCATTCCGTCTTGAGATTACCAAAAATTATTCGACCGCTAAATTTCCTCGATTCTCGATGCATGGTGGTTGTTTACATACATCACTTTAGCTGTGCACTTCACTGCGCTTATCAAACAGTGAGATACAGCCAAGATGGGCAACGGACAGTAATGCATTTAACGAAGCAGCTATAGTTAAGCGGTGAAACCCAAAGCTTCACCGATTGTCAGTTTTGTCAGAGGCTTCCGTGTCATGCGCGCGGTAGCGGGCGGAGCTAAACTGGTTTGTTACATCACAGCATTGATGTCGGTGATAGTTTGCCCATCAAGCAACGCACCCGACCTGTGCCCTATGCTCTTCGTAGCCAGGTGTGTGACATGTTGGTCGACCTCAAGAAACGGGGCATCATTGAGGATAGCTCCTCCCCGTGGGCCTCACCAATAGTCCTGGTGGCCAAAAAGGATGGATCGATTCGATTGTGCGTTGACTATAGGGAAGTTAACAAAGTGATCAAGAAAGATAGTTATCCCTTGCCGCCAATAGATATGACCCTTCAGAATCTTCGTGGAAAGCGGTACTTTACCTCACTGGATTTAGCGAGTGGGTACTGGCAAATACCCTTAACTGAGGAGGCTAGGGAAATCAGCGCATTTACCACTACGGCAGGACTTTTTCAGTTCAGGTACTCCCATTTGGGCTTTCCACGGCGCCAGCGGTATTCCAAAGATTAATGGAGAAGGTCTTAGGACCGCTTATGGGAGCAGAAGTCTCCGTATACATTGACGATATGCTTGTAGCAACAGAGACAATGGAGCGTCATGTCGAGGTTTTGAAACAGGTTTTCCAAGCACTACGCAAGGCGCATTTGAAACTCAAGCCACAAAAATGCCGTATCTTGGAAAGTTCCGTAGAATTCCTGGGGCATGTAGTGGATAAGGATGGCCTTCGAACCGATCCCGGCAAGGTAGAGAAAATCCGAGACTATCCGCAGCCTACAAATCTAGCACAATTGAGGACTTTTCTAGGAATGACAGGCTATTACCGCAAATTTATCTTCCGATATGCGCAAATAGCACAGCCTCTGTATGACCTCACGAGTACGAAAACCCCATTTCTGTGGACAGGAGCACATCAGCAAGCGTTTGCTACCTTGAAGGACCTCCTGACGAGAGCACCTGTGTTGGGACAACCTGACATAGAGGCTGCACGCAAACGCTCACGTCCTTTCTACATATATACTGATGCTAGTCGCAGCGGACTTGGCGCGGTTCTGGCTCAGGAGGGAGACGACAAATCAATCCATCCTCTACATTTTGCGTCTAGAGGAAACTCAAATGGAAAGTGGTTGTTGGTTTGATCAGTATGGCATAGGAAGGCAACGCGTCCTGCAAAAGAATCGTAGGGAAAGGGCAGCGAGTATCTACTCTAGAATGATGTACATGCTTCGAGAACTTAGTGGAGGAACAGCATCTTGGTAGAAAGTTCAAAACAGGCAGATTCGCAGCCTTCTTGGCATCATCAGATCCTGCAACCGCAAGCTGTCATTCATCAGAACGGGTTGGAAAGGAAGCGATTTGAATAAAGGAGTGATCAGACATCACTATGACCACAAAAGTTTTTCTTATTAGTTAGTACTGGAAATATTTTTTGGT